GCCCCAGGTCCCTGCCCGGACACGGGGGATGTTTCGGACGCGGGCACCCCAGCCCCCTGAGGATGGCACGCTGTGCATCAGCGCCCTGTTTTCCCCAGCTCTTTGTAGCAACCAGACTCATATTTTCTCCCCCCATTTCAGACCAGAGCTTTGCTGAGCCCACGTGCTGCAGCTGAGCTGTTTATTGGAGCTACACCAGGTTAAACAGTGGCAGAGGCAAGAGCAGGGCAGAGCTGGTACCAAACGTGACAGACAAATCGTGCTCCCTGCAAGGCCACGGACCCCTCAGGAACTCCAGTCTGTGAAGAGGCTGTTTCTGCAGACCCTCTTCTCAGGGTGCCCCTGTGGTTACAGGCCCAGCTGCTCCGGTGTTTCAAACCATCCCCCGTTGGTCCTGGCATAAGGAGACGTGTCCCAGGGGCTGCACCAGCCCTGCCCACCTCTGGCTGGGGCTGTCAGAAACGAGCAGCTGCTTTGTGACCCTTTTCTGTTCAGAAAGGAACATCTCTTCAGCATCTTGGTGGCTTTGCAGGGCAGGCAGCCTTGGGGACTGTGGGCTCCCCTGGCTGTCCCACAACGTGGAGCTGCCCAATAAAACCCCCTGTTCCAGGCACGGCTTGAAGGTCTCAACCCCAAGTTTGCAGAGCTGTTCCTGCTTCCAGCTGCAGTTCCCCTGGTGGAGCTGCTCCTGAGGCTGTGCCTGGACAGAGCTGGGTTAAGTCACTGGTACCGTGGCTTGAAGGAAAGCAAAGTTGCACTTGTGCTGCAGAATGCTGCCCTGCCAGCTCCCAGCACGGGGTGCACAGAGAGCCACCTGGCCAACAGCACCTCTGGCCATCACCTATTTCCATGCAGGGACTGCCCTGGGTGCTCTGCAGACATTCCTGAAGCTTTCAGAGACAGAACAGTAGCTGTGGGCACGTTCAGAGCTGCACTTTTAAGGCACCGAGGCTGATTTTCAGGTTTTGGTGTGTTCAGCTTCTCCACATCTGAACTAAGGGCTAAACTGATGTGATTCTGGCTTTCAGTGAGTACAGCATCTGCTGGAAGTTCACTTTTGTGAGTGAGCATTTGTGAGGTCAATAATTTACAGCAGAAAGAGAAGCATTAGGGCCAGCCTTGGGGAGGAGGGGGGAAGTCAGATCCCAGCCAGGGAGTGCTCCTTGGCAGGAGGGGCAATTGAGATCCCTCTCCTCTGGCACGTTTTGTGTGGCCAGGAGACACCCGCCCTCAGAGGGCAGGTAACAGTGCCAGGTGAAAGCGGGTGTTGCCTCCCCCAACAGGCAGCAGACACACGTGCTGCTGCAGCAACCCACCGGGGGGCAGGCAGGAAGGGGAAATTAAAGCTGACACACAATTAGAGCAAGGCGGGTCTGCAAGTGCTCCTGAAAGCCCGTGGAAAGCAAATGGAAATCGGGCAGGAGCTATTTCTAGGCAGAATTTGGGGCTGAGAGAAGCAGAAATAGGCTTTTGCTAACAACTAAATTCAAACCCTCCCAAGAAGCCAAATGTAGTGTTTTAACACTTCTGGTATCTGCTTGCTGTGTGCCAGCTCACACTCACCAAGCTGCAGCCTGATTGCAGAAACAGAAGGAGAAAATAATAACAATAATAATCAGAAAAGGTTTCTCTTTGTTAGATGAGACAGACCTAAGGAGCTCTGCCTGACTTCCAACTCGGGGAACACTCTGGAATCCTAATGAAGCTGAAGAGAGGCTCAGCACCTTTGGAAAATCAGCCCACTGATCTTCTGTGGAGGGCACTGCCTTATCTTGTCACCCTTGGCACTTGTCTTGTATGCAGCTGACAGCATCAACTAGAGGGTGTTAAACTCAGTCATTGTCATCAGGCAGTGAGAGGGAAAAGAACTTGAGGAAATGGGGAGCAGGGATCCAGCTATCCTGGCCAGTCAGGAACTGCCAGCTGAAGGTTGATGCATGTGCTGAGGACTTTCCACTGGCTGCCTTCTCCAGCTTGGCAAAACCCTGCAAGAAAATGGAGGAGGTGAACAGAGGAGCTTGGAGCACAAAGCACTGGCTCACAGGGGTCAGTGGAGCAGGAGAAGGCACAGGGATGGGACAGAAGAGGCTCAGCAGTCACTTTGCATTAAGAGGCACACAAAGCAGCCACATCTGTGGGGAGGCAGGTCCCCATTCCCTCCTCTCCATCCTCGGGCAGAGGGAGGAAAGGAGGCCCCTTCTGATAACCTCAGTGCAGCACCAGGGTTTCTGGTTGCTACTGTGGCTACTCCTGCCCTATCCAGACAATCAGACAAAAACAAACCACACCCAGCCCACTTCCCTGCTCATCTGTTGACGGAGCATTGCAACTGTTTAGGTTTGCCACTGGTTTTCATCTCAAAGGACCTTTTCATAAAGCAGTAACTGCACCTGCCCCTGATGTGCTGCCTCCTTGCTGCAAACAGCCCTCAGCAGTGGGTTAGCCCAGGAACTCTTTCATAACTCTTTAATTCCCTTCAGAGGGGACTCTCAACCTCTCGGGGACGTTCCTCTCACCACTCAAGCCAGCCCTCTGCTTGTCTCCCACCCGTGAAGATAACACAGTCTGTTTAACATTTTATGGCCAGAGATCCTGGCTCTAACCAAGACCCCTGGGACCAGCCCTAGCACGTTGCCAGCTAATTCTGCAGCAAGGGTCACTGCTTCCCCCTGGAAAGCCACAGGAAAATCCCTGTGTGGGTCACTCGGTGAGTGTGGGGGTTAAATGCTCTGCACTCAGTAAGCTCTGAGCCAGTCCTGCTGACTCTGTGAAGGAGCACTCACCTAGAAGAGCTTCTCGTAGCACTTGTCACAGTGGACGATGTCCCGGTGGATGAATATTTTATCCAGCAGATCTCCCATTGCTTTGTGGCAAATCCCACACTGCCAAAGGGAAAACATGGTGGTTGGACAGTAAGTAGAGCACCATGCAGTGAGGACAGCAGGGAGGGGACAGAGAAACCAACAGTCCCTGTATCATCTGACAGAGGTGTGAGGAAGCCCGGGCAGTGGCCTTTGAGGCTGAGCTTCTCTACAACAGACCAAGGCCCTCCAGGCTTCCTCCTCCACACCCCCCCACTTCCACAGACTCCTCGTAAGACTTTGCAAGGTTTGGGAGGCTCAGCAAGGCCTGGGGCACACAGGCCACAGAGCAGCAAGCCGGCCACGGGGAGAGGGAAGAGCTGCTACTCTACCAGGTGACAGTAAAGAATTCCCCTTGTTCTAATATGCTTTTATTTGAGGAGCTGAAAATGTGTTGGGCAAGCATTTGGCACACACAGTCTATGTTACTCTGAATGTCTGAGGACAGGATTTGCACCGAGGCTCCTCCTCCCACCACTCCATTAAGGCAGGCAGCAGCTAAGGGTGCTTACCCTGAAGCAGTACTCGTGGCAGTGGATGTTGAGATGCTCTATGATGATCTTGGGGCAGTCGCGGATCTCACGGCCGCAGTAGCTGCAAGGAGGTTCACTGGACCTGTGAAGGGACAGAAGAGGCAATCCCTCTGTAGCACAGGATGGTTGCAATCCCAGTACTGGTCCCAGAGGTCTCCTAGCTAACCACCACCAGCACTGCTCTCTGTGAGCTGCCTGCTGTGTCTGACTGTGCCAAGTGACAGCAGAGCAGGGCAGGGGTTGCCCGGGGACACAGGGCAGTTCAGATCCTTTAGTCAACGTCACTGGGTTTCCCAAAGATCATTTACACCTCAGGCTATCATTTCACCAAACATGTACTAATATTCTAACACAGCAAAACCTTCAAGTCATTTCTGTTCAGCAGTTTTGGCTGGAGCCCCCAGGGCAGCCCCACCTCTGCAGGGCAGCTCTGCCCAGGTAGCTGTGCTGGTTGTAGGTCGCTCGCTCCAGATTGGTCAAATCCACGAGGCTGCCACTGGAGAGAGAAGGAAACATCAGCACTTGACAGTGATATATGGGAAAAGCACCTAGGATGGAATCATTAATCATTAACCTAAGGTCTTAACTGCAATGTCCCATTCCTGGGAAGAAGGCTGGTCCCTCCTCATCAGCTCTGAGAAAGCTTTTCCCTCCTGACTAAGGGAGCAGGGCTGTCAGCAGCAGTGTCCCCAGCTTCCCTGGATCCACCCTGCAGATGCTCCACAGGGGTGGCAGTGTCCTCCTCTCTGCCCCACACCACATCTGTGGGGACCAACATATTTTCCACAGACTGCTAGACAAGATGGCCAAAATCCTGTGCTGGCTCCTGGACAGGCAACCTGGGAATCCCTGCCCCCAGAGCACTCATCAGTAACACTTCTCTAGGGTCCTGATGTTTATATATGGACCCTATAAACAGCAGCTATTTTCACTGCTTACAGAACTCCCAAATCCTGAGCTACTATGCAGGGAAAGGCACAGGACACATCCCCAGTCTCCCCGAGCTGGGTGATGTGCTGCCCTTTGGTTGCTGACAGCTGCTCTGCTGACCTCCAGGGAAGGCTGGAGCTTTATGGAGTCTGTAATCAGCTCCCCCAGCAGCGCCAGCACAGCCCTGAGGGAGGATAAATGCCAGCAGGGAGGCATCAAACTGGGTGTTAACTGCCTGCTCCATGTAAGTACATAGGGTCAGATTCTGCTCTCACTGACACTGGTGTCAATCTGGAGTAGCTTCACGTAGTTCCCTTTGAGCAGAATACAAAAGAGTGCAGATTTAAGCCTGAAAATGGCATCTTTTAACTTTTCCTAGCTCATAAGTAACTTTTTTTGAGTGAGGACCCTCCACATTCTTCCCACCAATTCCAACCATTTGTTGACGTGTGCAAATGCAGGCTGAAGCCTGACAGCCCCAAACATGCAGGGCTTCCATCCCATCACCCCCTCAGAGGCCAACCCAGCTAGAGGGGAGCTCAGCCCTGCACTAGGAGCTGTGGGACAGACGTTCTCCTGCCACCACAGCAGGACTGGCCAGCCCTGATGGACCGCAGAGACACCCCTCTGTGTCCCCACAGCAGCACTGCTGGGTTAGCAAAACTCCCTGCACCCCCCAGTGGCATAATCCCCCCCCGAGGCTAATTAGGTGAGGCCCAGTGGGTGCTGAGGCAGTGCTGATTGCTGGGTGTGCTGCCTGGCAGGGCCACAGGCTGCTGGGGGGCACAGGAGCACAGAGACACCCCTCGTACCTGCCGTAGCGCAGGGGAGCTGGCAGCCCGCTGCTGTTCACGTACTCCTTCACAAAGAGGACCCCTTTCCTGGGAAGGGATGGGAACAGAAGGAGAAGCATTTGCATTAGAAAAGGCTGGAGCTGATGAGAGGCAGTGCCAGGGACCCTGTGTGTGCCCTGGGACACGTCACGTGCGCGTGAAAAGGCACCGAGCGAGATGCTGCTGTTCTAGAATAAACCCTGAACATCAAGCATTGCTGCTAAATAACAGCTAATACACCCTCTAATTAACCCACCAAAACGAATCGAGTTAATTAAAAAGAATGGGGTGGGTAAGGTAACTCTTTCATCCAGTTATCCCCTGTTTTGCAAGGATAAGTCTTCTTCAAATCGTGTCAGGATTACGTGCACAATGAGCATTTAGAGCTCGTGGTTCTGCCCGTGCACATCCAAGCCCTCCTGGCACATCCAGCCCTCCTGGCACATCCAGCCCTCCTGGCACACCCAGCCCTGGCCATGGCTGCTCCCTCACTGGGAGGTCCCCAGTGTTTGCAGCCATTATAAAGTGCCACTGCTTGATTTTGGGGGATGTTCTTGGTTACAGAGCTGACGTCTCCTGCACATTCCTCCCTCCCTGCAATGCTGATTTCCTGCATGACATGCCCCATCTGTCTGTCTGCAGCTCTGCCTCAGAGCCAGGCAGACCCTGTGCCCACCACCTCTTCCCAGAGCCATGAAATGAGCTCATCAGGCTCTTTCTCCATGGTGCATTTTCATTGCTGCCTATAAGCTATGATTAATCCCCTCTTATATGAGCAAACTAAGCCATGTCACAGCTAAGGAAAGAAAAGCCTTTTTTTAACATCACAGACACTTTCCATGCCAATGCTTCCAGATGAGTCTCCTGCTTAGACAGGCAGTGTGACAAGCAGGCAGGAGCACAGCCAGGAGGACCCAAATATTGTCCCTCAAAGCCTATGCTGACCTCCCACCACTTAAAAAGCCCTGTCTAAACTGTGCTGAAACTGCAGCAGTTTTCACCTCTGAGGTGGAGCCTGTGGAAACCACAAATCCCAGGCTACAGCTCTGAGCTGGCAGGGACAGGACACTGTCATCTTGTCAGACATGATAGACCAGGGTCCTGTGCCAGCCCCACCAGAACCTGACACACTTGCTGCATGTTGGCTGCTCTCTTGTTAATGGCTGACAAGGCAAAGAGTCTTCCAGGAGCCCCACAGCTGTGTTGAGCTGCATGGCAGGAGAAGCTCCAGCTAGAACCTACTCCAGAGGATTCCTGATTTTGCCAGGCTAAAGAGAAAAGACAACTCCAACAGCAAGTTACATCCCAGTCCCTAACTGAGGGCTCCTGGAGAATACCAGCCCATCTCTCCCTTTTGGGTGGCTCTGGCCACCCTGGCAGTGTCTGTGCTCCTAGCTGAGAAGTGTCCCGGGGCCCAGAGGGCACAGCCAAGCCTGGCTTGTCTCCAGCACACAGGAGAGCCCCATGCAAACCCTGTCCCTGCAGGGGGTGACCCCCCAGCTCCTTACCCGGCAGTGCTGGGGTCGGGCTGGTACCCGGGGGCTGCTGGGCTGCTGTGTGGGAAGGTGGCACCTGGGCTGCAGATCCTCTCACTGGAGCTGGAGAGGAGCCTGGAGAGAGAGAGAGAAAAGTCTCTGGGCACTGGAAACGTGGGCCATGACGTGGCCCAAGCTGGCAGCCAAGACAAGACCTACCACTGCTGTTAGGCCCTTAACCACACAGATTCATTCATCTTTATCACAGACCAAAAAAGGTTCCTTTCTCTTTTTACAGCTGCCACAGACCAGAACCTCTTCCCTGGAGAAGTGATTTGGAAAAGTCTCATTTATAGGACCATGGGAGAAAAGATCCAGTAAGATCCTCAGATAAGAACAGACCTGGAGTGAACCAGGAAGCCTGAATGGGAACAGCTATAGAGAGACACAGCACTTTGCAGGAGAGGAGAGATGGGGACACACTGGCCAGAGTCCAACAGAACTACTTAATAGTTACTTATTCAACACTTACTACTTAATAAATGTCAAAAGCTGCAGCAGGGAGAGGGTGGTAAAACCACAGCTACTAAAATGTCTTTGGGAAACAGGTCTGCCTGTCCCTCAGCAGCACAGTCTGTTACGTTTGCCTCGCAGGGATGAAGCTGATGCCTGGAGCCAGTCCTGGGCTGCCCCAGGATCTTGTGCCTCCTGGGCACACCCACAACACACTCCCCTTTACAGATCCAACACCCAGACCTGAGCTGGTGCCACCACAGTGTCAGACCACACGTGGATGGGCTGACAGTGCCATGCAGGACTGCAGAAAGCCCAGGGTAATGGTATTCCATTTTGGATACCCCCTTCCCCTTCCAACAGCCTTGTTCTGGGACCAGTCCAGCCATATAATCATTGACATTCTGGAGACAGTGATCCTCTCTCAACATGTCTCTGCTTTTAAGCTCTCTCTTTTTTCTGTAGCCTCTGCAATTTCTGGCAGAGGCAGGGCAGCCAGAAACCAGCCCTTCCTTCTCCTGCCACTCTGTTCTGGCAGCCCACATGGTGAGAAATCTCCAGAGGGACCAGAGGTGGATGAAGCACAGACCCTGTTCTGGGTGGGAGTGGTTTAAGAGTAGCTCTTTGCCTCTAGATCACACATTCACTCCCTGGAAACCATTCATGTGTCTTTCAGCTCTTGGCTTTGCTTCCTATCTCCTTTTCTGCAGCAGCTTCAGGGAGGTTTCTCTCACAACCATCAAAACCACCCACTCACCTGTTGTTATAGTTTAAGCTGTCCATGTAGAATGGCACCCTGTGGCTTCTCTGGGAGATGGACAGGATGGTGTCTCTGTGCAGGGAGTCGTGGCTAGGAAAGGAAGGGGCACAACCTCAAGCCCTGCACTGCAGCACGTGAGATCCTCTCACAAGTGCTGATCGTCGTGGCTAAATGTCTCCCTGCTTAGTGGCAAAATTACCCCCACACCACAGCACCCACCCCCACAGCACCTCCCTGAGATCCAGGGCATCAGTGAGCAGCGGGTCAGGGCAGTGCAGACACTGAGCACATGGGGCACTGGGGTTAACAAGCCTGGATCCCCTGTGACTTCTCACCGTCCGGCCGAGGGGTTCAGCTCTCCGTGCAGCCAGGTGCTGGTGCTGTCATACCTGCTGCTCCTGGGGCTGCTTCTCCCATCATAGCCTCTCCCTTCATAATCTGGGGTAGGTCTGGCAAGGAAGCACAGGGCTCTGATTATAGTGTACCAGGAGGCCCTGCAGTCCCCACCCTGCCCAACTCCTATTTCTCAGCAGTCACTTTCAGGATGATTCTCCCTGCCCCCCGTGCTGGTTCTGCAGTGCCTCCAAAGCTCTGAGGCCTGGAAACCACACTCAAAACCTTCACTCTAGAGCATAAAGCTGAATCAGTTCATGGATGAACACATCTTCAGCATTGTTTCCTTCCCCAGCACTCACCAAAACCACCACTGCACCATCTGCCCCTGTGAACTGCTGACCAGCTGGCCCATCTGGGTGTCAGACCTGCCCATTTTCCCTTTCCCAAGGCAGGACTCATTACTGGGATGGCTTTAACCTGTGGGCAGAGCTCTGGTGCTTTCAATAGAGAAAATGAGCTTATAGCTCATGGTTATTCTTCTACTGTGAGTGCCCTAGGGCACAGATTATATTTATATTGTATATTAGCACTTTGATCCTGATTCAAGCTTCAGGCAACTGTATAACTTAATGTTAAACAATGCTGAAAAAAAACCCTGCAAATCAATGCTGCACTGAAGAGAGGAAGAGGGTCAGGCTGAGCTCCTCAGATGAGAACAGCCCTGCTCTGGGCAAGACAGGACACAAACCCAAGGGGCAGGATTGAGATGTGGGTTTCCAGCCCTGCAGAGAGACCTGTCAGTGTCACACAGCCTGGGCTGGGGGGGATTGTACAACCTGGGCCAGAGCTGCTGCCGGGTATTTCTGTGCCAGCAGCTTCCCCTGAGCCCACACCCCACCCCCAGCCCCTCACCTCCTGGTGCTGAACACTTGGCTGATTTATATTGTATATTAGCACTTTGATCCTGATTCAAGCTTCAGGCAACTGTATAACTTAATGTTAAACAATGCTGAAAAAAAACCCTGCAAATCAATGCTGCACTGAAGAGAGGAAGAGGGTCAGGCTGAGCTCCTCAGATGAGAACAGCCCTGCTCTGGGCAAGAAAGGACACAAACCCAAGGGGCAGGATTGAGATGTGGGTTTCCAGCCCTGCAGAGAGACCTGTCAGTGTCACACAGCCTGGGCTGGGGGGGATTGTACAACCTGGGCCAGAGCTGCTGCCGGGTATTTCTGTGCCAGCAGCTTCCCCTGAGCCCACACCCCACCCCCAGCCCCTCACCTCCTGGTGCTGAACACTTGGCTGTCCAGGTAGGAGGGGATCCTGTGGCTGGGGGCAGGCAGGTGGTCCCTGCCCTGCGCTGGGCTCTCGGACCCACCAACAACACTCTCTGCTGAGCTGAAGTTAGACCTGCTGAGGAACAACAGCCAGTTGGACCAGAAAGCCAGGGACTTCACACAAGGGTTTGGGATTTGTCGAGGCTGGATCATGGCTGTTCCTGCAGGAAAAGCTGGGACCCCAGGCTGCCACGGGCTCCTAAGGGCAGGGGGGTCTGCGCTGCCTCCCCTCACCTGCACGAGCTGAATTCCCAGCACAAGGAAGTGCTGCAGGATTCAGCAACCACCTCAGTTAGTTTGTTAACTGAAATGGAACATGAACAACCAGATGTGGCTGGAATCCTAAACCTAATATATTCCTGTTGTCAGCATCACTTGATTAGAGTACACTGGGTGAATTTGCACAGCTCCAGGACTTCAGCCAGGCTTGTACCAGGAGGCAGGAACAGTGAGGGATGGGGATTGGAAAGCCACTGATGGGGGGAAACAGAGGGATAGTCCCACTGTACCTGGGCTCATCCAGTCTCCAGCCTCCCAGACTCTCATGATGACTCTCTGTGGTGGGGTGGGTTTGTTCTTCATAAGCTGGAGTGATCCTGGGCAGGGAGGAAAAAGCCTGTTAACACCTTGAGCACCTTTAGTCTCTAAACTCAGCAACATCACAGTTATGTTGATTTCTGAATTCACCAGCCAAGAAATGAGCATCTGTCATGCCTGTGAGCAGGGCAACAGGGAGAGCACCAGCCAGCAGCAGAGCATTCCTGGTGCTCTGGCTCCCTACCTGTCCCAGAGTGGCTCAGGTTCATCCCCAGGCTGGGCCTTTGGAGCAGGGATGCTGCTTTCCCTGGGTGGAGAGCTGGGCCTGCCAAGACACACGAGCACTGAGTCAGCAGAAGTGCCACCACACAGCAAACAGCTGCAGGATGTGGATGCAACCCCTGGTGAATCTCCTGCCTTGGGAAAAGTACAATATCCCTGTGTGGGAATATGCCAGATAATCCAAAGAGAAGTGCAAAAAACCAGAGGGGAAAATACAGCTGCCTTCAAAAATAAGGCTGAAAGAAAAAGGTAAAGCTCCTGATGAGCACCAGTGACCTGTTTACTCTTTCCAAACCTGACATTTTAACTCTGGGCATTTAGTGATGACCATGATGGGTGACCCAGTACCTGGTCCACAGTCCTACCCACACACTCTGCTGTCCCACCCATGTATCCTCATGCACTCAGGAGAGCCCAGCTTGGTGACCCCTAACCCCAAGCACAGCATCCTCAACCCCTTCTCCAAAGCCACCTGCAGTGAATTCCCCATGTTCTAAAGCAAACCCATTATTTCTCTTGCCTTCTTGAAGTAACTTCTTCACCCTGCACTAGCACCAGAATCAGGCACAAAGGGGGAGCCTGGGAGAAGATCTGATCAGCACACTTATGTGGTGGGAGACACACAAGGTATTAACACTCATCCTACAGGAAAAGTGGGGGTAATTATTTGATTCCTTACCTAGTCATGCTGCATTCATGTTCAGTGTGTTCCTTCAACCTGGGAGGCTCTGGGTGGACATTATGGTCAGGAGGTTCTTGTCCTTTCTCACTATGGTTGGTTGAGTCTGAAAACCTAAAGCAAAGATCAGTGCTGAAGGCAGTGGACAAAGTCATGCAGGGGTGGGGAGACACCCTTACCCTGATGGGTGACCCAGTACCTGGTCCACAGTCCTACCCACACACTCTGCTGTCCCACCCATGTATCCTCATGCACTCAGGAGAGCCCAGCTTGGTGACCCCTAACCCCAAGCACAGCATCCTCAGTCCCTTCTCCAAAGCCACCTGCAGTGAATTCCCCATGTTCTAAAGCAAACCCATTATTTCTCTTGCCTTCTTGAAGTAACTTCTTCACCCTGCACTAGCACCAGAATCAGGCACAAAGGGGGAGCCTGGGAGAAGATCTGATCAGCACACTTATGTGGTGGGAGACACACAAGGTATTAACACTCATCCTACAGGAAAAGTGGGGGTAATTATTTGATTCCTTACCTAGTCATGCTGCATTCATGTTCAGTGTGTTCCTTCAACCTGGGAGGCTCTGGGTGGACATTATGGTCAGGAGGTTCTTGTCCTTTCTCACTATGGTTGGTTGAGTCTGAAAACCTAAAGCAAAGATCAGTGCTGAAGGCAGTGGACAAAGTCATGCAGGGGTGGGGAGACACCCTTACCCTAGAGAGGAGCCATCAGGCAGGGAGCAGGAGACACTGTTTGGCCCAGAGCTATTCCAAATCACCCTGGTGCCAGATCTGCTGGGAATTACAAATCCCATTCCAGCCTGCAGCACCACAGCTAAGGGCCTTTCATCCCAGGTTGTCACAGGAAACCAGGCACCAGAGAAAGCCCTTGTGTCAGAACTCCTTGGACTGACAGATGCTTCTAACACCCTGGGACACTCTCACACTTGACTTTGCAGCATCCATAGCTCCTTGGGTGGTACTTGCTGGGATCTCTGGGCAGTTGAAGTTGCTGTCACTGCAGCACCAAGGGAACCATGGCCCAGAGGACAAAAGTGCCATTAGAAGGTCCTCATGCTGGGGTGCAAGGCAGAGGAGCTGGTCTGTGGTCTCAGTTACACTGGGAACACTAGTGCTGAAGTGAAGAGACACTGTGGGTGGGTCCTACCAGCCACTCACCCTCGGATCAGCTCTGGTTTGTGGTCATCTGAGGCCCACATGCTCTCGTGCCCCCTTTCCCTGGGGGTGTTCCCCTCTTTGAAATCTTGGGAAGACCTGAAAAAGTAGAAGAAGCCCCACTCGTGGCTGCTGGGCACAAACACCTGGGAGCTCAGTTCTCAGTGGGGCAAGGGAGGGAGCCTGAACAACCAGGGCAGGGCAGAACCTCCCTTTCCTCAGCAGAGTCCTGATGGGGGGAGTCAAGTGACTCCTCCCTCACTGCAAGTCTTTAGGCAAAACACTTGTTAGCTCGTTTAGTTTCTGTGTGGTTATCCAGTGGGACAGGGAGCCCTGTGGGGGAGCACTGAGGCTTTAGGGCACACAGGGCTGGTGGTGATGATGATGATGATGATGAGGACAGTTGTTTGGCTGCTCTTCCTGTGAGGTTTTAAGAGACCTTTGCCATCTCTGCACTAGGGTGCAAAACTGAAAGGGCTCAAAAGCTCCACAGTCCCATGCAAAAGGACTCCCAGGAGTGCACCCCAATTGTTCTACTGCCCCAGCTCCTGCCTTGGGCTTCTCCCTGCAGGAGGCAAGAGAGGAGTGGGTGATGCACACTCCTATCCTAGGCAGCAAGGCTGGGGGGCTGCTGAGAAAGAAACTGGGACATGTTAAGGGCACTGTCCACATGGTGACCCTTCAGTGACCACGGTGGGAAAGTTATACATGGATGCTGGAGAGAGGAGCAGCTGGGAGCTGCACAGGCAAAGGGCCCGCAGGATGCTGCTGCTCTTGTGCTCCTTATTTCCTGAGCAATCAGCACTTCCAAGGCTTTCACCAGGGGGGAAGAGCCTGTCAGCCATCGGGGGGCAGCACCCCAGCCCTTACATCTCTTCACTCCAGCAAGGTTTGCTGAGTGCTGGGACCCCAGGACTGCTGTGTCTGCCCTCCTGGCTGCTGCTTCTCTCCTCGTAGCTCAGGACAGACCTGATAAGCAAAGAAAAGCTACTTACATCTTTAACTGGCACACCAACCCTTGCAGCAGTGAATACCACCTACCCACCAGGCAAGGCTTGTGCCAGTCTCTCCCATTCCCTGTCCCACACCAGGATTTTCCCCTAGGGACCATATTTAGACTAGAGTTGCATTTCAGTGAGTTCCAGCTGCCTCTGCAGCTTCACTGCAGCATTTCAGTGAATGAGGAGGTAGTGACTGAACCTCACCAAGCACAGAAGCACCAAGAGGAGAAAAAAAGCTCTGGTGCTTGGCTTATCTCAGAGAGGATGGAGGTGGGATACAATGAAAACCTCTTGGTTTCTTTTGCAAGCTGCATTTTAAACCTCAGCACAGTTGCCTTCATCCTTCAGGTGTAAAAAGAGCCTCTTTCTATGCCTGGATTATTTTCAGATGTCCCTTAACCCTGAATATTACTTACATGCCCACAACATTTACCCCACTCTCACCTTTTAAAGGAATAATCTGTGTTCTCCAGGTGCACAGGGGCTCGCTCAGTAGGAGGAGAAGGGACATCAGACAGCAGGCTAGACCTGGGGAAAGAGGAAGGAATCTACAGATTGATGGTTCTCCAAAAGGCTTCAAGGGGGGCTCGTATGAAAGAACAACACTGCACTTGATCTGAGGCCAGAAAAGAGAAAGTAATTTTCTCAGAGAATTGATTTTCCTTTGGAAAATAACATTTTCACTATCTCTAACCAAGGAGAAGAGATGCTGCTAGTGGAACTAATGCAGTTCCTTGGCCTCTGTGCACTCAGGTCTTGGCTGGACACAGGACCTTTCTGGCCTGTCACAGGATCACACACCTGGGACAAGGCACAATGGGAGAGACTTTGGGGAAGATGTTCCTACATTACTAGCAGCAGCTCCAGGCCCTGGGAGTTACACCCTCCTACTGGGAGCCTTGTGATCCTCCTCACCTCAGACAGGGGGTTTGAAGACATCATTTGCTCACCTCAGGTCCTTTTGTAAGCCAACACAGGGAGTCAGGTGCCAAAATAATGGGCTACAGCAAGCTAGGATAGCAGCTCTGGGGAGACTGTTGTGTTTGCTGTCAGCAGCAGCAATTCTTTCCTGGCTCTGTCCTTCTGACAGAGCTAAAAGCAGTGATCAAGCTGCTGTATCTGCTCCCAAGCTGCCCCTGGAGAGAAGCTGATGTGCACCAGTGAACAGGACAATGCTGCTCCCAGTGTTTATCCAGCCAGGATCCCCTGCCTCCCTTTGCTTTGGTGCCTAATTCGGATTCTGCTTCCAGCTCTACTGTAGACAAGTCACTTATCCTGCCCTCTGTGAGCAGCCCTGTGAGGACCAGCACCAGGCCCTGACCTTGCAGCTTCAGACTTGGCATCATCCAGGCAGCCAGAGGCCTCGTGCAGCTGGTCTGTAGCCTCTGCAGCTCTGTCCCTGCAACCAGAGTTGGACTTGGTGAGAGGGGAAGGATCATGGGTCACAGGAGGAAGCTTAGCAAGTTGGAGAACAGAGCAAGAAGCAAAAACACCAAACATGGCATGTTCCTGTCTCAAACACAACATCTTTTCCTCTTCCCTGCTTAACTCCACAGACTCCTGCAGCAGACCTACAGGGCAGGGGCACAAACCCAACCCACTCTCACTGGTGCAAGGAGAAGCTGTAAGATCTCCATGCATCCTGAGCTGGTGGATCAGCCCCACTTCCCCTCTGCAAGTGCTGCTCCCAGAACACATTTTTAAGGCAGTACTAAGTTAAGGAAAAGACACACACACACACACACCCCCCCCCAAATCAAGAAGAAAAAGTTTTTTTGACACTGTTAACAGCTTTACACTCACCTTGGTGGGTAAAATCCACTGTTGGCTTCTGTGTGTTCAGGATAACTGAAAAGGAAAGAAGGCAGCTTTAGAAAGCAGCTCTGGTTTGGGTCATGTTCTACCATTGTTTTCTTCTGCATTTAATGAAAGAGAGAGGAAGAAACCCCTAAGCCTTCCCAGAGATGTTGCCCAGAGTGTTTCTACAGGCAAAATGGCAAGAAGCTTCAGGGAAGCTCAGTGTGTATGAAGGACAAAGCAGCATTTAGCAGCTCTGATCATCATCAACATGGGGCAGCTGCCATGGAGCCAGCTGGGGATGCCAGCCAAGACTCTTCCCCAGCCAGTGGGATGTCCTGCTACACCACAGCCACCTCCATCTGCACAGGGGAGGTGACAGAACGGGGCACTTAGGGTGTCTGAGCCAAAATCCGATGGGTTTTGCTCCTTTTGTTGTTCCCGGGCTGTGGGCAGCACCTGGGCAAGCAGCTCCTGCTG